AAACCAAGCTAAAAATTGGATTAAGACACTGAAACCAGACTGGAAAAGTAGTTAGTTAGACCATTGAACCGGACCAGCAAAGCTCTCTGGACCTCTAAACCGGGCCGGTTTGGCTTGCTAGAGCACTGAACCGGGCCGATTTTGCTTAATGGAGCACTAAACTGGGCCAGTTTTGCTTGCTGAAACACTGAACCAGATCGGTACCGGGGCCGATTTTTACTTGATGGAGCACTGAACCGGTCTGATATTAGTTTGAACCGAACCAAACAATGGATTGGGTCAGATTTGGGTTGACTCAAAGTGGATCGGGTTGGGCTATGTCTTCTTCGCTGGTTAGGGTTTCAGAAAAACCCACTTCCTGCAACTGCGCCACACCACACCACCACGAACCAAATACGAACCACCACAGACAACCACGAACCGAACACGAACCACCACCAACCACCACAGACCATGCTTCCAACAACGACGAACCACCACAGACCACGCCGACGATGGACCACCACACAGCCACCACAGACCACGCGATCACAACAACCACCACAGACCACGCCTGACCACCAACGATGAACCACCACAACAGCCACCACAAACCACAACCATACCACCACGACCACATCCGCCAAACAACAGCAAGCAACACAGTAGCACCACACGATGAACAGTACAACACCACCACAACAGTAGAACTTCTATGAACAAAATTTATTCAGAATATATATTTATGATCGTATATAGCTCCGATACTATGTTAAATTTAGAGGATTAACACAATATTAGAGAGCAACAGAGATAGGTTAAAAAAACATAACCTAACTCTCATACATCACTTGTATTTATAGTTAACTCACAATAATAAGAATTACACAGAATATCCTAACACTATTAACAATTTACACATACTACCCTAATACTTTTAACAGTACTAAACAATAATTGTATACCATTCATTGCCAATCTAATGACATATATTAATTTTTTCAATTAACCCCCCAAATTAAGTAATATACCAATGCAATATAAAGATCAATTTAAAATCAATTAATAGAAAAAAATCAACTAAATTATTTCTTCAATTATCAGACCCAAGGGACAAATAAAAATACAAATTAATTAACACTATTTAATACTACAAGCAATAACATTTAATGATATGCCTCACATTGGACCGAAGGGAGAAATAAAAAATACAAAACAATCAATATTATTTAATGCTACAACTAATAAATAACGAAGAACTAAGGAAGATGAAGAAAAGGAGGAAGAAGAAGATCCAAACTCATTGGCAGTCACTTGATTTTGCAGGTTTGCTTTCAATTTCTTCTTTGTCTTACCAAAAATCATATGGGTATTGTGTGGGAGACTAAAAATTGCTCCAATTCAACTTTGAATGTGGGTTTCTCAAAAATTTATGCATGTTTCATGTGGGTTTCTCAAAGATTTATGCATGTTTCATGTGGGTTATCAACTCTATCCCTTTTTTTCTTCTCCATCTCCTCTTTTTTGGGCCGACTCTTTGTTGTATTTTAGTGGTCTATGCGATTTTATTATGAATCGTCCAATTTGGTGACGAGTTGGTCCGAGTCAACCGAGTTACACAGATTTTACAGAGTCATCTCTGATTCAAGGCCGATTACAGTGAGACTCGTTCATTTGGTGTAACGTGCATCATTATCGGTTCGGTAGGGGCCAAAGTGGTTACGACTCAGTCGAGTCAAGTCAACTCGAACTCAACTGATACTTTGAATATTGGTTGAGACCAAGTTCTGAAAGGGGTCCGAATACTTTTTCTCCCTAGAGGGTGCAAGAATTTTTTCCACTTAGTTAACTTACAGACGTTGTTTTGAGACAAGAAAAGGATGAACAAGGATATCCATGATCATTCAATTACAAATTGAATCAATGAACATTGAAATTTGGAATAGTAGTTCGTTGAGAAAGAATATTCACCTTATTTTACCTCATGTCCAAAATAGGGGTGATCCTAGAAAAGCCATCTTAGAAGTGTCAAGAATACCCTTTCTTTTGGACCATGAATTTGAGGTGAATATAATCAATTTTGTAATCTCATTGGAAAATTCAAGCCACCATCATGGAAGACAGAGATTGACCATTTGGTTTTGAGTGCATAGTTCAAGGTCACAACATCGGCCGCACTAAAACAACACTGCTGTAGTGTCGCGACACGGTATCTGTCAATATGCACAAAGTGCTAGATACAAGACCCGAAAAATTCTAAAAAAAATAAGAAAAACTTGAAGTATTTTAAACAACATCATCCATATATATGTGAAAAATACATCATCTAGCTCAATTACTATAGGTTTAAAGAAATATTAAGAGTGTTACCGAAAATAGGAATATCATTATCAATGTCAAGTGAAAGCATGCCAAAGAATAATGAGCTACAAGATCATCTCCAATCTTGACTCAAATTTGAGTAAACATTTAATAAAAAGCTTGATTTGATACAAACGGTTCTAATAGACAAACTTAAATTTAAAGGAGTGCAAATTCAAATTTAAAGGATGGCAAAATATGACCATTGGATTTTTAAAGGAAAATGAAATTTGACCATTAGTGATTTGAGTAAAGGTTTGAGTCTCTATTAATTTGAGTAAAAATTTGGATCTCCTTTACTTTGGTATGGGTTTGGGTATTAGATTGGAAAAGGTTTTTCGAAATTTTTTTTACCCAAATTGAAATTTGGTTTTAAAAAAGGTTAAGAAGTTAGAGATGCTCTAATAACCATTACCACGCATGAGATCTAATTTATTATTACAGTTTTTAATAGTATTATATGAATGGGATAAATAATTTTCACTACAAGGATAACAATATAAGTAAGAAACTACCAATCCAAAAATGCGTTATCAATATATTATTAGAAAACACATTTTTTGGGCAGGTAATACAAAATATATTACTATAATCTATTTTAGCACCAAAATAAACTCTACCTTCCCAAACATATTAAACAATACTTATCCCCAAAACACACTTACTAAAGACAATAAGTTAGCAAAAAAGAAAAAAATAATGCATTTGAGGCAAAAGACTAATTGACAGTGACATTGGGCATGTACTCCCAATTTTTACGTCTTTATGTTTTTGAATAGAGAGAGAGAGAACCAAAGGAAAGTACCGCCAAGAATCCGATCAGAGGTCCGAATTGACATTACTTGGAGGAAAAGATGGCACTTACCTCTGTGGATAGCTATTGCACGACCACGACTGATTCACAAAAGGAGGAAGAAGTAGAAGAAGAAGAGGGCACCCTAGCGAGTACCCTTTCTCGATTTTATAGGTTTCTCTTACAAAATCTACCAATTTTTTCCTTTGTTCAAATATTTTCCAAAAAGGGTATGATTTAGGGTTGACTAAAAGAGTGATTGCATATGATTTACACAATTTAGGGCTAAAAATTACTTCTTTTCTCTTGCTTTTTTCTTTGGTCTTTGGTTGTTTCTTAAGATTTTGTTGCATGATTTGCCCAATCTAAGTTCTACCGATTCTTCTAAGTCAAAGTGAAACTTGGGATATTTATGAAACGGTTATCGTTATCAGATAGGTGATGGTCCGACCCGGCCAAGTCGTATCGGACTCAGCCGACACTTCTAAGTTCTTACCCTGGTCCAATGGCCTATAGGATGGTCATGTTACACAGTGGAAAATTACAAGTAGGCAACCATGTGGATCAAAGCAATTGTGGTGTCTCAAAAGAATAAGGCAGACATTGATCATATATCCATCTACACACACATACACACTCTTTCTACATAGTTAAATGCTGATGTGATGTTCTTCTAAATCCAGTGAAATATAAGTACCCACCAAGGTGGGGCCAAATGATCAAGCAGTAGTAAAAGAACAAAGATCACGCATATACTTTATCAAAACAAACCTAAACACAAATTCAATTCTAATTTTGCTGGAAAACAACATTTAACATCATTGACAGGTGCGAACAATGTATTTGTGCACCAACAATAAGAGCAGAGACGGTGCAGCAAGGAGCCATCCACGCACCATATTATACATACCCAGACACTAGTCGCATATATATAGGAAATCTCAAGCTCAATCATCAACCACTATATGAAGTCCTTTAAATTGATCTAGGAAATTTTTATCAAAGTTGAAATAATTCTAGTGCCTTGAGTTGATGTTTGACAGATCAATAGTCATGATATTTCAACAAAAGATCAATTCAATTAGGGCATAATTGGTAGCTCATCTAGAACAAATTGGATGTTACATTCCATCCTTGCCTTTGTATCAAGCATATTTACTTATATCCCAATAAACTTCCACAATTTCCATTTTAAATTTGAGAGACAGTGACGAGAATGCCCAACAAAGTGTACTACTTCTATGTCAGCTGATACTCTGAAAGAACAAAAAGCCATTAGGTTTAACAAGCAATTGGCATACCTGGAAAACAGGGACTCCATCAAACCCACGCTTGACATCCGAAGCTTTAAGCTAGAAGACATGAAACTTAAATGTGAGCCAAAAGAAATATCAATGCAGGAGCAAACTGATGTAGTAGGATACCCTACATAATGCATTTGATGAAAATCTTTAGCTTCAAGAAACAGAACCATATGTCTAAGATGACAGCCCTATTCTTGATTTTTCCCAACCAAGAAGGGTTATGTAGGACTAACATTGTTGTTTCAATTGGCATAGTCACTAGGCAACACCTATTTACGCCTTCTGAAGATGCAATACTGAGGCTACTTCTTTACAAAATAAATATGAGATATAAGCCAAAATTTTAATAATTATGAGAAAACTTACAAAAAAAAGTAAAATCTGCTTTTATAAAGTGCAACAGTAGTGAGACATGCAAGTACACAAAGTGGTGCAAAAGTATGCGAGTCATTTCACTGGCAATGTGAACGGGAGTCATATCGCCATTACTCTTTGACTGAAGCGACAAAACAATCACAGCAGCATGATTGTAATTCACACAAGTCAAGTTGATTCAAGTCCCTTTTTTTTTTTTCGATAACTGATTCAAGTCCATTAAATTAATGCTATTATGCAATTGGCATGACCTACTGAAACCAAAAAGCACACAAAGTACCAACCTCTAATGCATTTTTTACTTGAACAGGATCAGGCAAAAAACGGAATGCGATTCCTTCAACCTTCAACATATAGACCTTCAAATTGCAGAGCGGAAAATATCAGCAATCAATTTAGTCAAGTGGCTAAATGTTTGATTAACAAAACCAAGTCATGGCATATTATACAAGCAAATTAATTGAAAAAACAGTCTCCCTTAATCTAGAATAAGTGGATCTGTGGTTTGGGAGCTTCAAGATATCATCCATATTAGTTCAATATGAATTCCTTACAAAAATAATGGATTCTTGATTGGTGGCATCCTTCCGATCTCTAGTCATAAGATGTGTTTGGTACATTTTATTTATACTAATTAGCAATTAATAAGCCTACAACTATCGGCAACCTTATACAGTAATTTGAAGAGAGAACCCACCCACTAACATAAATGACTTCCAATTTCATTCTATGACACCCACAATTAAAGCTATCTGACAATCTTAGTTGCTAAAATAAAATCTCCGCTAAATATTTTGACAATTATTTCAATCAAAACCCCATACATATTATTCCCATCAAGTTGTCCCCCATTCTGAATTTTCCTGAAACTCATCGACCTCCCAAAGCACAACAAAGTTCAAATTTTGTAAGCCATTTCCAGTAAAATTTCTTACACTTTCCCCAACAGTTTAATCCACAATCCAATTTATACTCTTTTCCTAAATCACCACACCCGTGTAGACTAACCAGATTTTTTTTTAGAAAAAAAAGAAGACAAAACAATAAAAAATCACTTCTCCGTTCCAACATTGATCACCTGGTCAAGTGTAATAGGCACAACCCTTGCGCCACCTCTCAGCATTCCCTTCCGTGACCGAACCTGGAACATCGCAACCACAACACCAATAGTCACATTGAACGTAATTAACGCATACAAAACGCACATACAGATAGAGAGAACTGACCTGAGCGAGAAAGGCTTCGGCGTCTTCTTGGCGAAAACAAAGGAGTCCAATGGATTTGAGACCATTGGGATCAGAAATCAGCACAAATTCATTGTTCGAGTTGCTGACAGTGTACACCGCCGTACCAGTGAGCGTCTTCGAAACACGGTCGGAGCTCGAAGCAGCATCGGAGGCTTGCTTTCCCTGAGACACCGAAGCGAAAGGTAAAGGAGGAGAACAAGAATGTATTATAGAACCCGAACGCCTCTGCGTCACCGGAGGCCAATTGGAGGCGAGTTTTCCGGCGAATCGTTTGGTATCGTCAATTCGACTCGTGAGCTCGGCTCCGAGTCGGATACAGTGCTGGTGGATATAAGTGGAGAAGGAGAGTAGAGGATTCGGAGTTCCTATTGAGGGTTTTGAGGACTCCATTGTCAAGACGACGAAGAAAAAGAGCAAGAGCACAGCCGAACCGTTCTGAAGTTTGTTAGTGTCAATTTGGGCTATTAATGGGGCTATAGATAGACTGAACCCCAATGGCTGGGCCATAGTGTATGTTTTGTTGGTCCCGCAGTCCAGTAAAAGACTGTGTTTGAGTTTCAAGAAAAGGAATACATTTCTTTAGGTACTATTTGTTAATGTTTTTGGATTTTGTCCCCCCTCCCCCCTCCCTTTACCCTTGTTTCATGTCCTCAATGTAAACAAGGAGATGCACGAATCCGACTCTATTTTCTCTTGTCTCTTAACTTGTTTAGAGGCAAAAAAATGAGGAATAAAAAAAATATATATATAGTCCAAGGCTCTTTATGAGAAAAATCGATAAAAACTTAAATCTCATTTTGTATCTGCAAAAAGTCACATAATCTATAGCACGTTTAACTTTGTTGTTTTCTATCATCTTGCCATTTTGGAAAGTGGTGAAGGGGAAAGAGGGGAGGTAGTTATGGAGGAGGATGATTTTGAGGGGAGGGGAAGGAAAGAATAATTTTTGCTGTTTCCTTAAAGCTACACCAAAAGAATCTAAAGTAAACATGGCATCTAGAGCATATCTACAATAATAAAGGGCTACGAACCCATTCTAAATCTTGTGTTATTGACATTTTTCTTGGGAATTAGATCCTATCTCATGTGTTTGTTTCTCATATATTTTCTAAATATGATTTTTTCTCATTTCCAAATTTTTATTAGTTACCCGAATCAGCATAGCAAGTAGCCACCCCTACCTTTCTCTATCATCCAAGTAAGATTTTTACTTTTGTTAAAGTGGTGCAGCAATGAGTGAAAGGAAAGAACATCAATATTCATTAATATGGCCCGTTAGGTAGTGTGGATGAAAAAAATAAAAAAATAAAAAATAAGAGTGATATATTTTCATTATCCATCCTTCTAGGGAGGAATCATTCATTTCCTCTTTTGTGTTTGATAAGAGGGATAAAAAGTAAGAAATATTGATTGTTTTGTATTTGGTAAAATGAAAAAAAATTATTTTTTTAAATTTTTTTAGAAAAAATATAAATACAAATTTTATCATTATATCTATATACGAAATTAATATATAAATAATATGTAATTGATAAATATGATATATCGACAAATAAGATATATTTCAACATACATAATTAACTTTTCATCTATTTTTCCTCTCAATTTTGGAAGGACTGATTTTAATGAATTTGAAGGAAAGCTAATACATCAAATTTTTCATCTTTTTTTTTTTTTTTTAACCAAACATGATATTTTATCTGTTCTCTAATTTTTTTCTCATTCCATCATTACGAAATATAAGCATAATTACACCATGCTTTATAATCTTCTTTATTAGCTCAAAGGTTCCATCCTTGTTTGTACTTAAGTAATTAAGATCCTTATGTAAGTAGTTATATAATGATTGCAACCCGGTGCGAACAGAATTACGAACCTACATGAACTTTATTCGAGGCAGGTGTGCATGCTCGGAGATGAGAGATATGGAATGAGTAATTCTATTTGAATTTAAAAATTTAATTTAATTTGTTGACATAATGATTTGATTTTAGCAGAATCATTGGATCAACACCAAGTTCCAATGTTTAATGGACTCCACAGTTAATCCAAAAGTCATAGTGAATTAAGTTTATAAATTAGGTCACAATAGCATTGCTCGGATAGAATATTTCATTACCAAGTCTTGAGGTTCGAATAAAGTTCTTGCTAGGTGCTCGAAGAAAATATGCTTTCCTTTTTTGTTTATCCTCCTCATGAGTAAAGGCTTCTTGGGGGGAGGGGGAGAGGGGACAGTTTCACATGAACAAAAGGAACCCCATTGCCAAGTGCCAAAAAAAAAAAATATGAGATGCTAAATTAGCACCACTATTGTCAACGAGAGAAAGAAAAATAATCCCATGGAGGGAGCTGATCAGTTAAGCAAAATGAGGGCTGGTCATTTTCTGTAGGAAATTACTTTGTAAAATCAGGTTAACCACAACATCGTGAGAACGTGGTACACCACATCAGGAGTAAAAAATATAGAGACAACGTGAGACCTAATCTCTCCTTCTTCGAGAAAGATGTGTCAGTCTCTTGGCCTCAAGAAGGTACGTTCCGATCAAACTCCCTCTATTTGAAAATGTGAGATTTAGGATATCTCAGGTCTCACTACATCTTATCTAATTCTCTATCCATTATATTTCACCATATTATGCATGATGGTGTAATGAACACAATCCCATAAATAAATGCTATGTGATGTACGTCACTCACCTATAAATTTTGTTCATTTTTTATAAAAAACGATCACCTACCATTTTATTGAAAAAGTCAACTTGTATGTTCCACAAATTAGTGTTGTAACAATTTTTCATTGAGTATGTACACCACTTGACACTGTTATGTGGTGTGTATAATTTATTGAAATTTTTTTCCTAACCATAATAGTCAAGAATCTTTCTTTTCAAATGTACTTTGTATGAATTGCATAATCGGGGCTTGCAATAACATCTCAATGCACATATTCTGAGTGTGCTTTAAGATATTTTTCGTTGTGGCCACACTTGGTACTTATCCACCACCTTAAGGAAAGGATAACCCAGAAAGAATATTAATTAATTAAAGCCCTCAAGACATGCTTTTTCATTGTATAAGTAACAGTGTTGTTCCTAGCTGCAAAACCAACTCAACAGATAACACCAACAATATGCCTATGTGTTGTGCCTGGGTTACTAGACCTGGAAGTTGGCCCTTGCCCGATGATCAGCTGAAGGGTCTTCTTAAGAGATATGACATAAACAAAGATGGCAAACTGAGTAGGAAAGAGCTGAAGGAAGCTTTCCGAAGCCTCGGCTTGAAATTCAGTGGGTGGAGAGCTCGACGTGCCCTTCACCATGCAGATGCCAATGGAGACGGACTCATCAGCGAAGAAGAGATGAATGAGCTTGTCAAGTATGCTTCAAGATGGGGGTTTATAATTAGTTAGACGGAGCCTTACGAGTTATCAACGAATGGACTTTTGGTCAAATGATAGTCTTTGTCTTGTGAAAGATTTTGCCTTTTAGAGGTGAAGGGTTCAAGTTCCTCTTCCCCCTCCTCTCCCAAAAAAAAAAAAAAAAAATTTTAAGAAGAAAAAAAAAAAGTTATCAAGATGGGAATCATCTATATCATCTTTGTAATATGATCTATAGCTAGTTGTAAGGTTGCTACTTTCCAATATAATGAAACTATGTAAGTTATAACCCTTTTTTCTATGTTCAATATATTTTTATCAGTAATTAGATGAACAATCTGGGGTCAAAAATGGGATCCATGAGCGACAGAAATAGAGAGAATTCATAGATTTTTCGAAGCTATATAGGGGGATTAACTCTCGAGAGAAGAGATGTTGTATATGACAGTTGCTCCTCCGAATCCTAATCTGTTTTTTTTTTCCACGAAGAAGAAGACGACGACATGTTAGATGCCAGGGGGAGGGGGGGCATTTGTGGTTATTATTGGGAGATGAAAAAATAAAAGGAGCAGTTCAAAAGGATTTATCTTGTTAGTAGCTGAAAAAATGTCAACTAATTCTACTTCTGTTTGATTATACTTTTTCAAGTATTTTTTAATTAGCGTTTGTCCTTGCATTTTTGCTCTTTTTTTTTTTTTTTTGTAAAGTATGCTCCATTCTTCCAAGCTTAATCGCATTATACATATCTGAATATATTATTTTATATTAAGGTACATGATAAAGACCACTTTTTGTAAAAAAAGTAACAAAAATCCATGTTTTAAATGGAATTAGTTTTTGCATAAATAAATATATTTAGAAGAAACATTACTGAGCGGTACATCAATTCACTAGAAGTATTTTTTAATCCGACAAAACTTTTAAATTAACTAAAAGTAATTTATAATTCAAATATACTTTTAGTAGATCAAACTCATTAAAATATATATGGATTTTTTGAGTCTCAATCACCCTCGAATTTTTACTTTACTAGTGTTTAAAGCAAAAGAAAAGTTATATTTATGATGGAAAATTTGACCTTACTTTATAATATTCTCTATTACCTCTCTGAGGTTCGCCTTTTGTTTTTAAATTTATTTAATAATATATCTTGCAGTTAAGATCCTTAGATTGGATTAGGAAATGGTAAATGCCCATTTTGTCAGGAGTAGGCAAATCCTTACTCTTTCCCACTCACCCTGATGAGATTTTTATTCTTGGTAAAGTGTTTCAGCACCCAGGAAAAGCAAAAGAAAAGTAATGTGCATAATGCATAATTTGACCATGCTTTTATAACCTTCTCTTTTAGTTCAAAGGTTCTTTTCTGTTTTTCGTATTTATATAGTAAATCTTGCAGTTCAGATCCTTAGACCGGGTCAAGAGAGGGATATTGTGTTGGTTTTTTTTTTATGGAGTCTAGTTTGTATATGTGATTCGGATGATGACCTGACCCGAAGTAATGTTGTGTGGTTTTTTAATAGAAAATTTTCTAAGGCTTAGTCCATAGAGCGAAGGCTTGGGCCGAAAATTTTTGGACTCGTTATACAGCTCAGTGCGTAAGACATATAAACCCTGTTGTTTTGGTGATTAGGGTTTATTGTGGATTGTACAGTCACTCTCTGTATTCAACTCTCTTAATAGTGAAATCTCTGTAGCTTCGTGGACGTAGGCAAATTGCCGAACCACATAAAATCTGTGTCATGTTCTTTCTTGTTTCTTATTTCTTTATATTCTTGATTTGTTCTTCGATTGTGTGTGTTTATTAGTGGATTTAAATCGTGTTAAATCCCAACATATTGGTTGCTTGTAAGAAGTAGTGGCCCACTAAAAAATCAAATTTTTTGTTTTGAAACGGTAGAAACGTTCAAATCGTTTATATTTTTAAAGAGATCGAAACGAATCAATGATATAATCAAAATTTTAATATTTTGAACTATTTCATAATATGTCGAGGTGATTTGTAATGTTTCAATGTATTTACACAATTGTCTCAAAATGTTTCAAGGTATTTTAATATATTTTGGTATATTTCGACCAATATTTTGAAAAAATAAATCTTATTTTTTTTAATTTTGTTCATTCTATTTTCAAAAAAATGTCAAAATACATTCGAAATACTCCTCCTTTGAGTGCAAGGGCTTATATGCGAGGGGGGAAGACGACTCTCTTCCGATGTGGGATACGGTGCGCCCTCCCCACATTAGGCTAGGCCAGGGCTCCGGCTCAGGAAGAGGGGTAAAGGCTACTCCCGAACGCGCGGAGGTCAAGCCGAAATCCTGAGTGGAGGGTTTCATCCCTTACACAAAAAATATTAAAAGTTTCGTTAGTAGTTTGGTACAAATTTAACATTTGACATTATCATACAAAGTAACAAATACTAAATACCTAATTGTCACACAATTTTACCAACCTAATGGGAGTTGTATACTAAGTAACCCTAGCCAGTCTGAATAGTTGTTGAAGGGTTCACATTTCATAGATATGACTCTAACAAGGATTGTTTGCAAAGTAGAAAAACATTGAATGGAACTCTGACTGACATACTCATCATACCCCAAGCTATTACGCAAGAAAACTTGTTTTTGCACCTGCTTGCTACTGAACACAATCTTTTTCAAGCATTCCAACATGGAATTGCATCAATAAATTTTATAGGGGTCACCGTGGTATTTTAACAAATTTCAAGGGATGTCATCCAAACTTCTCCTCCTTATTTTAGAAGTAAAATTTATCAATCAACTGTATCTAATCTTTTTTTATTTTAAACAAGGTGAGATATGATCCATTCAATACTACAGTAGGATGCTTTTTCCCTACTTGTTTGGTGTAAGTGACCAGGTGGAAGTAATCAGCACTTATCCACCTAAAGGATAGGGGAATCCAGAAAGAACATTAAAGTCCCACTCACACCTGTTTCGTAGTATAAGAAACTGTGTTCTCCTGGCTACAAAACCAACCTCCTCAATACAGACACTAACCCTGTGTTTGGTACATGGAATTAGACATCTGGAATGGAATGGTCATTCCTCAGTAATATCATTCCTTTGTTTGGTTTTTTGGAAATAAAATTTCATTCCTATTTCTAAGGAATAACTAATCCCATAAATAATAAGATTAACTATTCCCAAATAAACCAAGCTATTAGTCATTCCTATTCCCTCGGTAGTCAGTCTAATTAAGTCGACGAAAACCGATCGAGGCCTATTCCTCGTCTCTCGCTCGTTCAGCCCCCATCCTTTCTCTCTCTCTCTCTCGTCACTGCCCATCGTTCTTCAGTTCTTTGGCCCCAATCCTTCTTCTCTCTTCTCCTCCCCTATATGAACTTTTCCTTCATCAGCGGGAAGCATGGCGGTCCATCCCTCAGTAGCCATTGTATGCTTCTTCCTCATCTCTTTGTGATGCAAGGGGCTAGATTGATGAACAGACAAGATTTGACATCGCCACTAATCTCAGGTAACTCTTCACTTTGTTTAGTCAACAATCTCAAATCCAATTTAAGAATTTTGTTTCTCTATTTCCCATTTTGAATAACATGCCTGCCAACTATATGATAAAAGTACCCTTAGAAATGAGACAAAATTTCATTCCCATTTTGTGCTAAACATATTTGACTGTTAGGCAACATGGTTTACAGAAAAGATTTGTATCATGTAGTTGTCAATTTATTGCCTGAATTTATAGGAAAAAGAACCTTTGATAGATTTAGAGATGTGTTCCTTCTGGCAGACCAACCACACAAATTGTTGGGTATCTTTGGTGATTTCCACAGCAGCTTGGACATGGCCTGGCCATGTATTCTGCCTCACTCAACCAATAACACGACCAGTTTCTAGCGTAGTCTATGTGTTGTCCAAGATGAAATAGAAATTATCATCTTTAGAAGAGTTGAGACATATATCTTGCCGAGGCTTCTCTCGGCTGCTCTAATGACCAGGAAAGGGGATATGAAGAGACAGGTTTGTGGGTTGTGCATATCACTCTCTGTCTATATGCACCAGTCCTCTATTGGACAATCCCTGCATCATATTACCTAACAGTCACTTGTGTTGTGGAATCACGATGCAAGGTAATACAATCATATTATTGAGGACAATTACTGAATTAATTATTCTTATTTCAGATGGGGAGGATGATTTCATTCTTTTTTATCCCTATAAAAAGGGATGCTTTTTACCCTGTATGTTTGGTAGAGGTTTAAAAGCAGGCTTATAAAAGTACACAACCTAGTTAGTGCTTTGTGGATCACTCTCTCTGTATATGCACACTTGTCGCTCTTTCAATGGTATTTTGGTTCCTTTTTGCTCTATGTATTATGAAATGCTAAATGTGGTCTAATTTAATTTGACAGAGCATGTCAGATGGGTTAAGCTGCTTTAAATCAAGCCGAATAAATCTTGTTGATCTTGCTGGGTCAGAAAGACAGAAGCTGACCGGTGCAGCTGGAGAACGATTGAAGGAAGCAGGGAACATAAATCGATCACTTTCACAGCTCGGCTATGGTTATGCAATCCGTTGTCATATTGTAGTTCATTTTGATGTTGTTTTGCAGTAGCACACCTTTTCTTCCCAATAAATAACATTGGGCCTTTTACCTAATATATAGTTTGAGTTAGAAACACTCAATTTAATCTATGACTATGGCGGTGTGATTATTCTTATCCTACTATTGCACAATATACTGGAGAAAATGAGCACCATGAGATCTTGCAATAATTTGATAGGAACCAAGACAAATGATGAGACTTGACATTCTTTTATGTACATCATAATGGATGTTATTTCAACTCTATTTTCTCTCGTCTCTTAGCTTGTTTAGTGGCAAAAAAATGAGAAATAAAAAAAAATATAGCCAAGGCTCTTTATCGACAAGGGGCTAAATCTCACTTTGTATCTGAAAAAAGTCACATAATCTATAGCAAGCTTAACTTTGTTGTTTCTATCATCTTGCCATTTTTCATTCTTTCTATTTTTTTTTATCAAATATAATATTTTATCTATCATCTAATTTTCCCTCGTTCTATTTTTTCTATCATATCAAATGAAGAATAAGCATAATTACACCACGCTTTATAATCTTCTTTATTAGTTCAAAGGTTCCATCCTTGTTTGTACTTAAGTAATTAAGATCCTTATATAAGTAGTTATATAATGATAGCAACCCAGTGTCAACTGAATTACGAACCTGCATGAACTTTATTCGAGGCAGGTGTGCATGCTTGGAGGTGACAATAGTGGAATATTCCATTATCAAGTCTTGAGGTTCGAATAAAGTTGTTGCTAGGTGCTTGAAGATAATATGCTTTCATGAACAAAAGGAACCCCATTGCCAAGTGCCAAATAAAAAAATATGAGATGCTAAATTAGCACCACTATTGTTAACGAGAGAGAGAAAAATAATCCCACGGAGGGAGCGCATCAGTTATGCTCCGTTTGGTACGATAAAAAAATGAGAGAATAGAAAGTTGGAGGGATAAATAAAACATCATATTTGGTAAGGAAGGAAAGTAGGAAGGATGAAAAAGTGAATGAATTAACTTTCCTTTTAACTCACCAAAATCAATCCTTCCAAAATCGGAAGAAAAGTGGATAAAAAGTTAATTATTTGTGTTGAGATATATCTTATTCTATGAAACATAGACGGATATGTGACACGAGTACGATACGATACGGCAAAACAGCGAAACTTAAAAAAACAGGATACGGGTACGGTTAGGATACGTCTATAATAAAATATATTTTATATTTTACTGTTATTTAACGTCTTAAAAATTATAATTTTTTAACATTAGTAAGTAAAATTATGAATTTTTACCATGAAAATGATGTAATATTGTCTTATTATGATATATTTATAAAATAAATATGACCAATTGAAAGAATCATAACCACATTTAACTAGTTGGTTTTACAAGTATTTATTTTTAAAAGTATAGTGTAAGTGACTCATTTTTTTTATACTCTCTTAATATTTAATAATAGATAATATTAAAAAAATACTCGTGTCTTTAAAATCAAATGAAATTTTGTTAATGTTTTATATTGTATGTGAACTCCAAAGAAGAGGTATAACTTTAAATTGAAAATTATACATCTTATTTCATGTTTAGAAGTATCCACATATTTTATTAATTATTGGATACAGATCATGCATATCTGATACGTATCATCAAGTATCCGATATAGTATTTGATAGGGGTACGTTGACCTTGATGAAGTATCCGTATTTCATAGATCTTATTTCTCTATATATCTTTTTATGTATTCATATGTTATGTATACATTAACTTCATATAAAAATACAATAGTAAAAAATGAATATACATATATTAAAAAAATTTAAAAATAAATTTAAAAAAATAAAAATAAAAATTTTAAATTAAAAAAATATATTTTTTCCATCTTAACTAAAGGTACAAATTTTTGACTCACACGATGACACGACTCGAACTTGATACGAAAATAAACAGGTCAACTTGTAACTCGATACGACACAATTAGTTTAATGAGTTAAGTTAGGTTTAACTAATATTCGACACAAACCCGTAATGACTCAACACGATTCTGACATGGCACGACTCGATTGTCACCCCTAATCTTAATCAGCACAAAAAAAATTTATTTTTATTTTCCATCCATACAATCAAATACAAATAAAGGAAAGTGTATCATTTCTACTTTTCATTCTTAAAAGATAGAAAATGTATCTCTTTTACTTTTCATCCTCCCTACCAAACGGAGCATTAAGCAAAATGAGGGCTGGTCATTTTTAGTAGGAAATTACTTTGTAAAAAAAGGTTAACCACAACATCATGCGAACCTGGTACACCACATCGGTAGTAAAAAACATATAGATAAAGTGAGACCTAATCTCTTCTTCTCCGAGAAAGATGTGTCAACCTCTTGGCCTCAAGAAGGTACGTTCCGATCAAACTCCCTCTATTTGAAAAGGTGAGACTTAGGATATCTCAGGTCTCACTATATCTTATCTAGTTCTCTATCCATTATATTTCACCATATTATGCATGATGGTGTAATGAACAAAATCCCATAAATAAATGTTATGTGGTGTACGTCAATCACCTATAAATTTTGTTCATTTTCAATAAAAAACGATCACCTACCATTTTATTGAAAAAGTTAACTTGTATGTTCCCCAAATTAGTGTTGTAGCAATTTTTCATTGAGTATGTACATCACTTGACACTGTTATATGGTGTGTATAACTTGCTAAAAAAATTTTCCTAACCATAATAGTCAAGAATCTTTCTTTTCAAATGTACTTTGTATGCATTGCATAATCGGGGCTTGCAATAACATCTCAATGCACATATTCTGAGTGTGCTTTAAGATATTTTTCGTTGTGGCCACACTTAGTACTTATCCACCACCTTAAGGAAAGGGTAACCCAGAAAGAATATTAATTAAAGCCCTAAAGGCATGCTTTTTCACTGTATAAGTAACAGTGTTGTTCCTAGCTGCAAAACCAACTCAACAGATAACACCAACAATATGCCTATGTGTTGTGCCTGGGTTACTAGACCTGGAAGTTGGCCCTTGCCCGATGATCAGCTGAAGGGTCTTCTTAAGAGATATGACATAAACAAAGATGGCAAACTGAGTAGGAAAGAGCTGAAGGAAGCTTTCCGAAGCCTCGGCTTGAAATTCAGTGGGTGGAGAGCTCGACGTGCCCTTCACCATGCAGATGCCAATGGAGACGGAGTCATCAGCGAAGAAGAGATGAACGAGCTTGTCAAGTATGCTTCAAGATGGGGGTTTATAATTAGTTAGATGGAGCCTTATGAGTTATCAAGATGGGAATCATCTATATCATCCTTTGTAATATGATCTGTAGCTAGTTGTAAGGTTGCTACTTTCCAATATAATGAAACTACGTAAGTTATAACCCTTTTTTCTATGTTCAATATTTTTTTATCAGTAATTACATGAACAATATGGGGTTAAAAATAGGATCCATGAGCAACAGAAATTGAGAGAATTCAGAGATTTTTCGAAGCTATATAGGGGGATTAACTCTCTTGAGAGAAGAAATGTTGTATATGACAGTTGCTCCTCCGAATCCTAATCTGCTTTTTTTTTTCCACAAAGAAGACGACGACGACATGTTAGATGACAAGGAGGGGCATTAGTGGTTAATATTGGGAGATGACAAAATAAAAGGAGCAGTTCAAAAGGATTTATCTTGTTAGTAGCTGAAAAAATGTCCACTAATTCAACTTCTGTTTGATTATACTTTTTTAAGTATTTTTTAATTAGTGTTTGTCTTGCAATTTTTTTACTTTGTCGAGTATGCTCCATTCTTCCAAGCTTAATCGCAAGTATAATAATACACATATGTATGTGTACATATCTGAATATATTATTTTATATTAAGGTACATGATAAAGACCACTTTTTTGTAAAATATATAGTAACAAAAATCCATGTTTAAAATGGAATTAGTTTTTGCATAAATAATTTTATTTAGAAGAAGCATTACCGAGCGGTCCATCAATTTACTAGAAGTATTTTTTAATCCGACAAAACTTTTAAGTTAACTAAAAGTAATTTATAATTCAAATATACTTTTAATAGATCAAACTCATTAAAATATGAGTAATGCTATATAGACTTAAAAAATAAACTAAAAAACTAGACTTGATAATCTCAACTATTGAATAGGTAGTGAGTCTCAATAAATATTGGGACCCACAATGAGATCAATAGTTATAATAATCAAGTTTAATTTTTAAGTCCATATAACATTACTCTTAAAATATATATGGATTTTTAGAGTCTCAATTCCCCTCGAATTTTTACTTTTACTGGTGTTTAAAGCAAAAGAAAAGTTATATTCATGATGGAAAATTTGACCATGCTTTATAATATTCTCTATTACGTCTCTGAGGTTCGCCTTTTTTTTTTTTTTAATTTATTTAATAATATATCTTGCAGTTAAGATCCTTAGATTGGATTAGGAAATGGTAAGTGCTCATTTTGTAAGGAGTAGGCAAATCCTTACCCTTCTCACTCACCCTGCTGAGATTTTTTTCTGGGTATGGTGTTTCAGCACCGAGGAAAAGCAAAATAAAAGTAATGTGCATAAGGCATAATTTGACCATGCTTTTATAATCTTCTCTTTTAGTTCAAAGGTTCCTTTCTTTTTTTCGTATTTATGTAGTAAATCTTGCAGTTCAGATCCTTAGACTGGGTTAAGAGAGGGATTTTGGTTGCTTGTAAGAAGTAGTGGCCCCACTCAAGAATTAAAATTTTGGTTGTGAAATGGTCGAAACATTCACAACGTTTCATTTTTAAGAAAATCAAAATAAATTAGTGATAAAATCGAAATTCTAATACTTTGAAACTTGGCTCTAGCCGATAGGCTAGCAGTAAGCTTGGTCCTTGTCCTCTTTTTAATTATTGATCATGGAAGTGCTTACCAAGCGTGAAGGAAAGGGTCTTCACCACTTGAGCCGTGTGGGGGGAAACTCGCACGTGCGGTTCTTAGGGGGGGAGAGCTAGTAGGAGCCATCCCATCCAAATATAAGCTATTGGGATGGGATGGCCGAGGTGGTTTGAAATGTTTCAATGTATTTACGCAATTGTTTCAAAAAATTTCAAGGTATTTTAATATTTTTGGTATAGTTCAATCAATATTTTGAAAAAATAAATCTTAATTTTTTTATTTTGCTCATTCTATTTTCAAAAAAATGTCAAAATATTTCTGAAATATGTAAAAACTTTTCCGTTTCCTAAGTAACGAAAACAATATAGTGAAATAAAATTTTGATCCTTATCCCCATTTCAATGATTATCAACCATGGAAGAATCTCCAAAAAGAGAAGTGATAAGTTCAATTGCCTCAATGCAAAAAATATTAAAAGTTTCGTTAGTAGTTTGGTATAAATTTAACATTTGATATCTATATAATAAAGTAACTTACAATTTAAATCTCAAAAAATAAACAAAATGACTTTTATTATTCGCAATTGAGATCGCTTTAAATTTTACTTTAAAGTTAATTTAACGGCTAATATTAACACCCTAAATTTAATAAGAAAAATAAAATACTAAGAGTGTGTTTGGAGTGACTTTTTAAAAGTACTTTTAGGAATTATTTTTCCTAAGTACTTTTAAAAAAATAGTGTTTGAAACCGTCCCAGCACTACCTCTACTACCACTACCACCACTATCTCTACTACCACTACCACCACTATCTCTACCACTGTCGCCGCCGCCGCAGCTACCACCACCACCACCACTGCCACGGCCGCCACCGCAACCATCATCGTTGTCGTTGCCACTGCCACCACCACTGCCACCTCCGTCGTCGCCACCATCGCCATCGTCGTCGCCACCACCACCACCGTCGTCTTCGCCGTCGCCGCCACCAATGCCACCACAGTTATTGCCACTCCCCACAACTATCACCCATCTCCTACTACCACCACTGTCGCCCACCACCTCTCACCTCCACTACAACCAATGTTTAAATTTATTTATCTCTCGTCTATGTTTGTGATTTGAATTTAGATATGAATACAAATATGTTTATTGTTTATTATTTTTTATTACTTTGTGCCTTCAGACACAAGCAATAACTAGTTATCATACACAAGTAACAAATACTTAATGTTGGTTTATTTTTATGGAGTCTAGTTTGTATATGTGATCCGGATGATGACCCGACCCGAAATAATGTTGTGTGGTTTTTAATGGAAAATTTTCTGAGACTTAGTCCATGGAGCGAAGGCTTGGGCTGATAGGCCCAAGCCGTAGCGCTCATGGACAAGCCTCGTGGGGGTTTGGGGGCAACGCCCCCGAGGAAAATTTTTTTTGGGCCCGTTATACAGCCCAGTGCGTAGGACATATAAACCCTGTTGTTTTGGTGATTAGGGTTAATTGTGGATGGTACAGCCGCTCTCTGTATTCAACTCTCTCAATAGTGAAATCCCTGCAGCTTCGTGGACGTAGGCAAATTGCCGAACCACGTAAAATCTGTGTCTTGTTCTTTCTTGTTTCTTATTGCTTTATATTCTTGATTTGTTCTTCGATTGTGTGTGTTTGTTAGTGGATTTAAATCGTGAGAAATCCCAACACTTAATACCTAATTGTCACACAATTTTACCAACCTAATGGGAGTTGTATACTAAGTAACCCTAGCTAGTTTGAATAGTTGTTGAAGGGTTCACAGTTCATAGATATGACTCTTAACAAGGATTGTTTGCAAAGTAGAAAAACATTGAATGGAACTCTGACTGACATACTCATCATACCCCAAGCTATTACGCAAGAAAACTTGTTTTTGCACCTGCTTGCTACTGAACACAATCTTTTTCAAGCATTCCAAGATGGAATTGCATCAAGAAATTTTATAGGGGTCACCGTGGTATTTTAACAAATTTCAAGGGATGTGTTGGTACAAATTCTTGCACAACTCAAGGATTTCGGCTGACCTGGGTTAATTCCTTGGGCGACCCCCCAGTAGTCTTTTACCATTCCCCATAGGAAGTGTTCACTTATATGGCAGGCGGGAGACGACTCCTACCCGATGTGGGATGGAGGTAAAAGGCTATTGTATTGCCTTAGGAAAGGGTGCAGCCCAACCGAAATCCTTGAGTTGCGCAAAAATTTGTACCAACAAAAGGCACAAATTTTTGCGTAACTCAAGGATTTCGGCTGACCTGGGTTAACCCCTTGGACGACCCTCCAATTGCCTTTTACCTCCATCCTACATCGGGTAGGAGTCGTCACCCTCCTGCCATATAAGTGAACATTTCCTATGGAAGAGGTACCCACTAATCACTTGATCAAGTGTTAGTGGATACCTCCTCCATAGGAAGTGTTCACTTATATGGCAGGGGGGAAGACGACTTCTATCCGATGTGAGATGGAGGTAAAAGACTGACAGGTTACTGGGGGATCGCCCAAGGGGTTAACCCAGGTTAGCCGAAATCCTTGAGTTGTGCAAGAATTTGTACCAACAGGATGTTATCCAAACTTCTCCTCCTTATTTTAGAAGTAAAATTTATCAATCAACTGTATCTAATCTTTTTTTATTTTAACCAAGGTGAGATATGATCCATTCAATGCTACAGTAGGATGCTTTTTCCCTACTTGTTTGGTGTAAGTGACCAGGTGGAAGTAATCAGCACTTATCCACCTAAAGGATAGGGGAATCCAGAAAGAACATTAAAGTCCCACTCACACCTTTTTCGAAGTATAAGAAACTGTGTTCTCCTGGCTACAAAACCAACCTCCTCACTACAGTCACTAAGTGATTGACAAAATGCCCATGTGGAGTCCTAGACCTAGAAATTTAGATTTACCCTTCTCCGATGACCAGCTGAAGGGTCTTCTTAAGAGATGTGACACGAACAATGATGGCAAGCTGAGTAGGCAAGAGCTGAAGGGAGCTTTCCGTGGTCTCGGCTTGAAATTCAGTGGCTGGAGAGCTCGATATGCCCTTCGCCACGCAGATGCCAATGGTGATGGAGTCATTAGCGAAGACGAGATGAACGAGCTTGTCAAATATGCTTCAAGGTGGGGGTTTAGAGTTAGTTAAACCTTACCAGCTATGAAGAAGAATATCATCTGTGTAATATGAACTGCAGCCAGTTGTAACTTGTAAGGTTGCAAATTTACCGTTTGATGAACATATGTGATTAACTTTAGAGCAATGCTACAAAATTCAAGTAAAATCCAAAAAATTATAATTTAAATGCATATCATATCTTAGATGAGTGCGTCTCATCAATTTTTTCAGTGGAACCCACTCATCCCACACTCATATAAGAAATGATATGTATTTGAGTTTTAATTTTTAAC